CGTGGAATGGTTCACAAAACATATACAGGCATTGAGTGTCAGAAATGGACGAGCCAAACGCCCCACAGTCACGAATATGACCCAGAGTCATACCCTGCGGCTGGACTTGGAGATAATAATTATTGTCGCAATCCTAGCGGGTACTTTGTCCCTTGGTGTTTTACTACTGATCCGAATATGGAACAGGGAAGTTGTGACGTCGGATTGCCCGGTGACAAGTGTGGTGAGTATTTTGAATATGTTCGTTGCTTTTTGATGGATGTCGTTCAATTATTGCTAAAGCTAGGAACAGAATGCCACATTATTTGATTAGAAAACTATACTATTAGCATTTGTTTAAAATAACGATTTCTTCTGTTTCAGCACTCACCAATTGCTACGCTGAATCAGATGGGAGAGATTATAAAGGTTCCGTTGACACAACCGAAAACGGGAAAACATGTCAAAACTGGTTGTCACAGACTCCACACGCCCACAATTTCAGTCCAGTTACGCAACCAGATAGAGGAATTGGTAATCATAACTTTTGTAGAAATCCTGACGACTCGTCTGGTCCATGGTGCTTCACAACTGATCCAAATACTGAACGAGAATATTGTGACGTAGGGAGCAGACGTGATAAGTGCAGTAAGTATGCCATTTCACTAAAGTATACATCCTCAAATGTTGACGCGAGTATATTTCTTTGTACATCATACGATATTTGCACTCTTCCAGGCGAGTGTACAGTTTCCCCAAATGGGGATGACTATCGCGGGGGAATTAGTGTGACTGCCACAGGGAAGACCTGTCAGAAATGGACATCCCAGTATCCACATTCTCATACAAGAACACCTGAAAACTATCCTGGCACGGGTCTCGGTAATCACAACTATTGCAGGAATCCGGATAACGAAGACCGAGCATGGTGTTATACCACCGACCCCGGCACACGATGGGCTGTTTGTGATACAAGTTTTCCGGGAAGATACTGCGGTTGGTTTTTATACCTTATCTAAACTTATACAATATGACAGAGTATACGTGATACACATAAGTCGAACTGAATAAGTGTATGGCTAAAGTCAATACCTCAAATGTATATCTTGGTCTTGGCATGTGACCAGTGTAATAATTCAGTCTTCGATTTGTCTATCCTTCGATTTGTCTATCCTATCAAAGCTCTTATTATCATCCACCAATGTTTGACATCGCGATATACTGTAATAATAGTGGGAAAGGGGCGATTCATTTTGAAGGTTGCAATGAACTTGAAAGCCTAAATTACTTTGCATTAACAAACGATATCCACATTCTCTCTCATGGTACCAATGTAATAATTAACACTGATAGTGACATACTGATAGTGACTGTTTAACCGCTCCTACACACAAAAGAATCCGATGGTTCAGCCGACATCGTCCACGGGCGGTTGTGTATATTGAGGGGATACAACATTCATTAAAAATATAGAGTGCCAAACCCTACATATGGAACATATGTCTATTTATACCATTTCATTTCGTTTATTGGAATGGTATTGTAATTTTCAGATTTTGCCGAATGCTATGCAAGAACTGATGCTAGTGATTACAGAGGGACAGTAAGCACAACAACGAATGGAAGGACCTGCCAGAAATGGAACTCGCAATCACCCCATTCCCATAGCAACACCCCGGAAGCTCGTCCAGATAGTGGCCTTGGAAACCACAACTACTGTCGCAATAGTGATGGAGAAGTGGGAGCCTGGTGCTACACTACTGATCCTGGTAAACGTTGGGAGTTGTGTGATGTTGGTCCTCCTGGTGGAGATTGTAGCAAGTATTACTAGCAGGTGAACACTTCTTAGATATTACATTTTTCACAACTGAGCTCGCGTGTCAATCGTGGGTACGACTGGTTAAGAATAATGTACATATAATACTTTTTTGACAATAGACCTTGCCGAAATCTCGTTGAGAATGAGAGAGCGATGAGACTAGTTTGTGCTTCCGAGATTTATCGCGGTACTATGTAGCATACTTTAGTCCCACCACGTTGTTGTTGTTTAAATTCAGTGGCAATTTACAAATTCAAGAGAAAAAAAAACACATTGCGTAAATGATTCAAGTCCAGTTTTTGATTTAAGAAAACCTATTTTGAGGAGATGATGTAAATTGTTGGGGGTAAGATTGAAAACAAAAATTCTGTGTTCATATTAAGGTACACTGTAGACACATTCTCCAGAAATATGATAACATTAATTATTTCACCTAACGTTATCAATTTGTTAATGCTTATTTTGTAGATGCAGCTTAACGTACGACACCAACCCGTGAAATAAACGACACTGTGAATGACTATCGATTGTTTCGATGACTGTTATTTCACATCAGCTCAACTTTATTTTGCATTCTATTCGATTCATCACTCTGTATTTTATCGTTATATGTATCATATAGCATGCTCGATCATTGGGAACACCCGATTCGGAAAACTCGGTATTTCCCCCCAAAGAAGGGGATTACCAACAGTTTTCCACAAAAGTTGTTCACATTGGGGAATGTAGGTACTTGTCTTATAAATTCTATAGAAATTCGTAAAAGTAGTTATATTAACAATTAAATGTTACAACAGAATAAAACACGCATCTCAATGTTCTCTGTTCGATTTGACTAATTAACCACAATTACTGTTTGTCAATAGATATAGCTATATGTATCTAATATGCTGATGATTATCATATTAGCGATACAATTTTAGATCGTGTCACTCACCATTAAAAAAACAGCAGTACATAGCAGTAAAAACGTTTTTTTTTACGGGGCTAATAGTGTAATTATATATGTCATGGGTTACAAGCATAGGTTAATTGTGTTGTACCTACGTCATTTGTTAATCTTTTCAATAGTTTATTATTTATGGGCAAATGAATAAAACAAAAAAAATAGTTTTCCTACTAAAAGTTATCTAACTAGATTCTGCAGTTTTCCGATAAATTGAAATTTATCACGAACTTAAAACAGATTGACCGAAATCGAAAAAAGGACACAAATTTTATGCAGCGATATGCAGATAATCGGCATTATTCACTTCCAGTTTCAATTCTTAGTTCATTAAGGCAAAATGTTTTAATATATGTCGTCATTCCCATTGTTATATTCGAGGACTGCAGGATAGTTCAGGTTCTGTATGAAATTAGGGTGGTGATTTCGACAACCATATGTATCAATTAGAATTTAGTTTGCGCTATTAAAGATAACATTCGCAGAGCAACATTTGCAATTCTAACAACTTCAACACGACCACACATGGTAACGTCGATGAACGCGACAGTTACAATTAGTGTAATTAACACGTACCCAGGAAATTCACTTAGCGGTTCATTTGAGAGATTTGAAACAGAGCATTTGTATCCCAATATATTTTGCTTTTGTGGAAATTGAAGTCTACATAACTTCAGTGATTGAATAAATGTACAGAAAGAACAAATTAAAAAAAACATGCTATTTATTATCAGAGAATAACCAACAAATGTATATTACAAAGTGTCGTTTTGCTTAACAACCAAACAGCTGTGTTCCTAAATATTATACAACCCCGTATTACGCAATGTATAGGCTCAACATTATATTCTCCAGAATCAAAATGACATGTTAGTGTATGTATTTGACTCGGTGATGTTATTTACTAAATCATGGAATATCAGTGATATAATCCAAACAAATATTAAGCGAACATGGATTGAAAAGCAGTTTATAAAAGATCAGAACTGGAAGAGGCAATTGATACACCTGCTATGTACCATTTGAAGGGTGAAATTGCCCAAACATACATACACCATTGCAAGTCACACCCATATGTATGCTGTACCCCAATTGTATCCAACATTACAATCATGTACAGGATGATAGGTTAGAATAGTTTTCTCTACACTGTACGTTATAAAACAATTCCTCTATATCTATATTTTTTAATCTTGCATTGTACAATACTGTCTCATATGGTATAGCAAAGTAGTGCTCTATGAGCGAGATTCAAACTTCTAATAAAATTAATGATGGTTATAAACACCGCAGCAACGCATATAACAATTCTATTTTTGTTATCCGTACCATGGCTTCTTAAAAGCACCAAACTGACTTTGGTGTGTAAACATTCAAACTCTGTAGTGTATTACTAAACATGTTTAGTGTTTACACATTGCCTTGGTAGCATACTTCTTAGAATGCAAGTCTATATACAATTGAATGGGTTAATGTTAGATTACATGGTTTATATTTACAATTCCGCAAAGCAAGTAGTGGAATCATTTCCGTTATTTTTCACCACTGTGTTGCAAGTAGTGGATCTGTCATTGCTATTTACACTACTCTGGTGGAAATAGTGGATCTGTCATTGCTATTTACACTACTCTGGTGGAAATAGTGGATCTGTCATTGCTATTTACACTACTCTGGTGGAAATAGTGGATCTGTTTTTGCTATTAACAATGCTGCAGTGCGAGTAGCAGATCTTTTTTTGTTAATATGCACTGCAGTGGTGCGATAAACTTAATATTTAACAGAAAATACAAAGAGTTGAGCACATGGCAGTGCATCAAAGTACTTTAGGCAAGAATATGGCATCAATTCTTGATGAGTGGATATTCTAGCCAGAATAGATTGTGCATAAAATATGTAGGTTATTTTGATGCACATGGCACCAAGTATCTCAGCTAATGATAACATAAATTTCACACCATCATCTTCATATTTTGTGAAAGAATAATTTAGTAAATAGACGAACACTGTTAGGAGTAATAAAGGATGTTCTTGAAAAACAAAATCCAAATCTTACAATCATTTTAAATTAACCTGGGCTTCAGCATATTTCAGGTCAAAAATGTACATATCCCAAATATATAATGTTGATCAGCAGGCTATATAATAATAAAATGCAATATATTTTGATAAATACGATCTAGTATCCGTTTTTCCAGATATAATATTCATTAATTATTTTAAGTAATCTGTGCAGCATTTATAAAATATTTGAAAGCTCTTAATATACATTATGGAGTAATATCTCCTAATTATATACATCTCTATAGTGTTTCAGTGGCTTATGTGAGAATCATGTGAAACACTAATCATATTATGGCGGTTTAGTATTATATTTGTTCTGGGAAATCCAAATCGTTTTCAGTGTAGAAATCGTTTAATATGGTGATAATTGTATTCACAGATTTTAAGTAAGTCCTCATGTCCTTCATGATGTACTTCTCAAAATTAGGATGATCATAATCTGCTCTACTCTGAGCTAGTAGCGATATGAAGTCTTCATAATAAGGCACTGTCTTTGCAACAAGCTATGGAGAGATAAAATTAAAACAAGAAAATGAAGCATAATCATCATTATTATACATCCATAAGTTACAGCGTACCGTAATTTTGTGGTATTGCACTGGGTATTTTCATCCTACCATATATTTCCTTCTAGGAGGAAACTCAAATATTTTTTTCCAAATAATATTTCTCTCAATCGCTGCAGTTTACACAATGAAAAGATATCAACAAGCTCCAATGAGCTCTGTATATCAATCTTGAGATGTTAATATTAGCTTATATGCATCTATAAGCCAATCTAAATAATTACATTCATTGATTGTATCCAAAACTGGAAGATTTATTAGAAGCAGCAAAGATATTCAAAAGACATTAAAATTCATTAATCGTGTATTAAAAATTACTCACAGCGAAGACACCTCTTGCTACCCAGCCATGGAATGTCTTCAGTGATTTGCTATATGCATGCGCTATGGACAGAATATACAAATAAAATATTTGAAGATATGGAGAAAGCAAAAACTAAACGCAATCAATTATGTGATTTTTTTATCAAGAGAATATAATAAGGCCAATACTGCTGTACAGTATTTGCTCTAATGTGGTTAGGCAAAAAAAACTTCTGAATCAATGTTTCCAGTAATGGACAAAACATAAGGTAGACAGTTTATTTTTATTTTCCCAATGAACTCCCTTTTTATGCATTGTTTTTATTACAAACATGCATTTAAAACTATGCATAGCAGTTGCCATTACTCATTAAAGTGGATTTCCTGCACAAAGTATATTTTAATAACCAAGTGTACAAACAATACAACTTTAGGTCTACATACACTACTAATAAAGACACAGCTGTAATAGAACAAATAGGGTATGCCCTTTTTGGGTAAAGGACCACAGTTGTGTGCAGTCTGACAACTGTGGTATTATAAACTGATCACAAAACCTCCTCATAACCTCAGTACATCTACTAAAAGATCCCATTGCAAGTTTTTTAGCAAAAAATAAATTGCGCCTTCTATTGATAGAATGCTTCTGTCATATCAAAATTACCTATATGGGTATATGATATTGTAAATGCTTTAATTATTCACTGTTACATTATTTTAATTTCGCTATTTTCGCTGATAAGTAAAATCCGCTAAATTAAATCCATATGAAAATGTAAAATAACAATAAAACTCATTGTTTCCTTGACAAATTTGTGAAATTAAAAGACAGTGAATATGCTCAAAACATCAAAATAGTGAAATTAAATGTCGGTGAAAGTAAATGGTTTAACAGTACTCAATTCCACAAGTTTAATTGGTTGTGTAGTCATTTAGAAAATACAATAAAAACATAATAAAATCTCTCAAAAACACTTCATCTTCATTTGTGGACAACTGCAGCTCAAAATGATATCGCTGCTATAAACGGCATGTGTTACCCATTTACTTCACAGACGTGTGCTTTGTCACTAGTGCATACAATCTATATAAGAAAGGTGTTATATAGACGTATGCACAGAAGGCACAAGAGTGAGGCCACAAATGAAATAGACTTACATGCAACTGCACTGAGATCTTTTTCACCTTCAGCTATTTCATGGAGAAACTCGTATACATATTCAAGAGCCCTGAAATACAGAGATATATACACATGTTACATAACTATGCATAAATAGTTGCAGAATTAGAATCAAATTTAACCATTTTACTTAAAACTACTATTATTAATCTGGGAGAGTAAAGCCACAACAACCACTTGTAGGGTTAAAGATGTTGAAGGTTTTTCTGAAGCTAGGCATGAATTGACTGATTACGTGTATGCAATATGTGTCATTCCATGTCATACCAAGGTAAAAGACATTTCTTAGAAACAATATTTGCTTCATTAGATGCCTATCTCCAATACAAGCACATGTAAACCAACAGTTTATTTATTGTACACTGGCACTTGCCCGCATGCAGAACTAGACATGAATGCAATACATTCAAATATTAGAGAAACCTACTTTGAGGCATAGAATCTGATATATGGAATATGAAATATTCATACCATTTTGACTTATGAAATGAAAAAAAAAATCGACATGCAATATTAACTTATTATATACTTATCCTTAGACTAGTAATACAACAGACTAGCAACGCGGCGTTTTCTTTTGAAGTAATGCGTGCCACGTTCGTTTAGGTTATCAGTTCTTATCGTACCGAGTAAAGATTGCTGGGCAACAACATTTTCATTATATTTCACAAAATAACGCGAGATCTATTCATATTACAATCAACTATCGCGATGCATCGCGAGACATAAAGACAGGAAGTGACAGAC